GATTCAAATGTCCACTCGTCGTGTACCGCGGTGCTCCAATACCTGCAGTCTCACTCGGCCTCGCGCCAAGCCCGAACAGATGAGGTGCGGAACAGCAGATTGGGCAGGGCTGAAGGTTGGGCTTAGCAGCGTTTCTGTAGAGGACCAGAGACCATGTGGTGAGTAGATTAAACATCCTCACCGAGTACCTATGTGATCTCAGAGCCAGTACGCAGACGTCAGAGACCGACATGAGCACGAGACCGAATCACTCGGGAAGACTCTTGTGGCCTTGTTTTACTGGATTGCTGTTGCTATTATTGGACAGAGCAGGCGCAAGCCCCGTCGTCTCCCGAGATATCATAGACTCGCTCTTTTCCACTCCTCATCCAAGAGGTCAACGCCGTTCCGAGACGAACGTGTATACCATACACTCCACCATCACTCATTGTATATCGTTAGTGATCCCCAACCCCTTCCCCCAAAAGGCCGCCGCTCCCAGTAAAAAATAACCTTCCGTCCCCTGAGCCCCAATAATGAATATCCGACACCGTGTACACCGCCCCAGGGCCAGAGCCGCTGTTGACATTACGCAACAAATCAAAGCAATCAAAGTAGTATGACGTATAGACAAATGAAAGTAAAAAGGGACTTGGCAGCAGATGATGAGTCTGAGTTGAGTATGTAGGATAAACGCCGTCGTGGAAAAGGACAGAAGCCCTTCCGCTCGATGCTTCGATTTTTGCACCATCAAATCATGGGCCAATCGGGGATTCGTCACCAACCCATTTTTCGTGTCGTAGTTGTGGTCGTGTTCGTGTGCATATGCGAATGCGTGAGCGCATATTTCTTTTTCGCTTTTCGAATCCATCCCTTGCGGAAAAGTGAGATGTACGAAGACGAAAATGGCATGGAGTGACGAGGACGGGGAAGTGATGAAAACCCCCATGTCATTTGTGAGAGCACTGGGCCCATGACATGAAACAGAGACAAGTAAAAATTCTGTCACAATACGCATGTTCCACGAGAGAGGCGGAACCGGACGGAGTAGAGGACAGGGAGAAGCGGGAGGGCCACAGCCGATCAGAGCCGACTTCGAACGGCACAATCATCGGCGACTGGCGCGGAATGCTGCTCCTGGCCCCTGGCGAGGCGCGCCTCCATCTCGGCGCGCCGCCGCTGCCTCTGCATGGAGGCGTCGAGCTGCGCTTGTCTCTCATGGCCTGTCGTGCACACGTTAGTTTCATGCCAACTGATCGCCAGATCACGCCCAACTCTCCACATGGCTTGAGGGAGGGGGGGGGGGCAACATACCGATCCTCCAGACTTTACGCTTGTGTTCCTTGCTCACCCACGAGTAGTGAATTGCCCGCTCCGGATGTGTTGAGAGCAGACCTATGCTTTTGATGAGACGGGCCTTGGCATCACGTACGGGCAACTCAATCGTCTTGACCTCGTCAAATTCGTCAAAAACGAGAAGGCCTTGAGCATCGGTCACGGGAATCTTCTTGTTCTCGCGGTAGTATGCGCTCTGGAGCCCACCATTGCGACGTAGCGGGCCTTTGAATTGCGCGTTGTACTCGCGGTTGACGTCGTCCCAAGGCGTCTCGCGGTCGTGGCGGTCGATGCGCCAGTAATCAATAAAGTCCTTCTGCTCAATGGTGTACTTGACATTGCAGCGGGTGCCGCGGGCTGGTGGATTCCTTTTTGGCTTCTGGATTCTGTGGGGTGAGGACATGGGTGAGAGCGGCATCCGGGGTTGGAAGTGTCTCCTGTACGTGCTGGCAACATCGACATCCAGACGAGGACGTCTTGTCAATGAGTCGTTGTTGTGAAGGCGAGAGTCTGCTGAAGATCTGGCGTAATGAGAGGCGAGTGTTTCGAGACTGATGAGATCGAGCTCAGGCAGAC